CGGCATAGCGTACAATCGATGTGACACTTTTCACGTCTCTGTGGACAAACTCCTGGACAGAATGTCGCGAAGAACTATTTGTCCGGGAGTTAAAATGATTTCGGCGAAATCGCAGGAGAATGTAAATCAAGTCGAAAAAATATTGGAAAATGTCATTAATGTCGAATTATAGAATACTTTACTCTCTTTTTAGTTTAATCGTTTTCTGTTCAACGAACAAAGGAAGCTCAACTAAATTTGGTCAAAAGGAAGATTATCTGCACCTAATACTATGTACTTATTGAGTAAGTTGGAGGGCCGTACGGGAAAATATTTGGCTCGAGGCTATGCCGATTTTGGTAAATTATTTTGACTCCCGGATATATAGTTTTTGCCCACGTGAAAAACTGAAGTGTCACGTCAATTGTATGCTATGCGGAGCGGCGAAAAAGCTTTAAATAGTCAACTGAATGTGCTCAAAAGGAAGACTATCTAYATCTAAATACAGTAAAGCATCTTTGATTAGACTGGATTTACATTCTACTGTGATTTTGGTGAATTATTTTGACTCTCGGCAAATAGTTTTTCGTGATACTCTGTCAGGGTCCCGGACATATAGACRAATTATTTTCAAGGTTATTTTTGAGTTCTGTACTCRTATGTAGTCGTATGWTACTCGTATGTAACCTGTATGTAGTCATATGTTACTTGTAACCCRTATGTAGTCGTATGTTACTCGTATGTAGTCGTATGTGACTTGTGGGTAGTTTTAGCAACGATCTGTAAATCATGCAAATTAATAAATGATCCTTGACYGACACAATTTCCATTTCGAGCATTATAGTTAAGTTTAGTTCTGTTCAGTAGAGCGATGGCTTTCCAAYTTTTGGCAAACCCAAGACTCATGCTCAAGTTCGAAACTCCAAACAGCATCTTCAATCTTTTTTTTGTTTCGAAAAAAGCAAATAGTCTCTTTTGTTTTAGAAGTCAAGCCTTATCATACTTTTCAACATCTTAGTCTCGATAAGTCTCCATTACAGTATTTATCACATGACAGTCTCTCACGTGATMTTCCAAAAATTATGTTATGTATTGATAATATGTAATTGTTATCTAGCAGACAGCTGATCTTCTATCGGTAGAGAGCCTTTTATGAATAAAATCTTAAGATGTTTCTATCATGGAAATAGAAACGATAAACTTTTGATTGTCATATTAGCAAAGTTGTCATAACAACCAACAACTTACATACCAGACATGAAATGTGTAATGTTCTGCTCATAACAACCAACAATAACCATATCGGTGTATAAAGAAAGACTTTTTACTGTTAAGTTTTCCCAATTTCTGTTACAGTATTAAGTCTTATGTTTATATTTAGAAATTGACAAGATAAGAATAAGAAAGCATATTTKAGTTAAATTCGCTAAAGGTTTATTTGCGAACTAGCATATCGTTCCAATCGTTCCAGACAGCTTGATTGGGCTCATCGATACCAAAATTTGGAGGAACAATGTGTGTGATCAAAAAAATATGCCCATTTTAGTTGGATTTACTTTCTGAACTGATTGAAATACTTTTTTAAGTTTCTTCAAATACAACCTGCTTCACACTTACGTAGAGTGGAACGTTTGTAGACTTATTTAAGCAACATTAGCATAATAGTCATAACAACCCATACACGTGCAACTGATATATCGGAACACTTCTGAAACTGCTTCAAAATTGAATGTGAAAAGGCTATTTTAAGTGAAATTTAATGTGAAGTTGTCTGAGTCAAACTAAATTATCGTTGGCTGTAGTCATGCATAATCGTGACTCTCATGTCCAAGTCGYGTCAAAACTCAGACACAATTGACAGCCGAAAATTCTTATTATTACGTGAACAGTTGAACAGTTGAACAGTTGAAGTTTAACTTCAAGACTTCATGGGGGCGAAATGACATAGATAGTGATATCAATAGGGGGCGAGATGGTGGGGGTGAGATGGCATAGTGGGGGCGAGATGGTGGGTGCGAGATGGCAATGGGGTGAGATGACTGGTAATGGCTCCTATGATAAACAAGTAAGCTAGAGCGAAAAAAATTGGATTTTGATAATATCAGTAATTATACTAGATAATTACTTTGGCACACAGCATTCGTAGGTATAATGCAGGCTGTCTGCATTATACCTACGAATGCTGCGTGCCTCAGTAATTATCTATATAACATCGCAATATCAAGGGGACCAGACAGTGAGAGAGGATTAATCTAGTGACTATCTACTAGACGTAATTACTGATATTATCCGATAATATCGCAATATCAAGGGCTCCAGACAGTAAGAGAGGATTAATCTAGTGACTATCTACTAGATGTAATTACTGATATTATCCAATAATATTGTGATACAAGAAGACATCTGGTGACAAGGAAAAGTAATATAAATACTAGATGATAATATCAAGATATAATTATCGGATGTTCGATATTGTGTCGATACCGTGCCTAACTCTCCATTTGAATCTAGCCCTGTAATCCAATCAGAACAATACAGAACTTACTTTTTTATGTAAAATGTCTTGGCAATTAAAAACTACTTGGTAAATTGAATGACAACACAATYATTAATTTTAAATGTGCTTCTATATGAATACTTACTGACTTTGTGTCATTAAAGCACGAGAATATCAGTCCAACAAATCCCTCATCCATGACTTGATACATTGCTTGTGTACTTAAGTCTACAAGAAAATCAAACACTTCACTTTAGTTTTTTCAMGATTGCTGAAATGTGTAGAAAGAACATCTCTATAGCATCATCATATTTCCAATATTTTATTATCTTATTGATTAATGCATTCCTTTTCAATGCCAACTTCGTAACATAATATTAATTAAATGATTTTAAAGGCAAGAATCCAAGCTAGACTCTTCTTCCTAAAGCTCTCTTCTTTCTATAGGGTGTTATTAGTTATTCATGAAATCAATGCCGGCACATAAATATCTCAAAATTTAAGGTTCAGTATGGGGATTGATCTTGACTAATGGATTAATGGTTAGGTCTAGAGGAAATATCAAGGGTTAGGCAATGCATAGTCCTGGTTTGAATCTTTTAAAAGATTAAAATTAAAATTCTCTTCTTTTTAGTTTAAWTTGATGAAGTCTTTGAAAGTTCTCTAAGATCTTCTTCACATGTGTACATCAGCGCCATGTACACTTGAATAACCATATTAACGACATGGAAGTCATACTTCTCATTTAAACTGAGGTTGCAAAATACAGAACGATTTTGAGTGCTTTTCTTGATGTTCATCTTCTGGCAGGAAGTGTGATTATCTTAAGAAATAAGCATAGTATATACCTACGCAAGAAATTTTCCAGTATGTCAGAGGCTATATCCACATCACACGTGTTTACAAAGTACATGTATGAATAGTCTTTGGAAGAGATTTAACCATGCTCTATATTTTCATTTTCAAGCTATCCAATTGATCATTTCAGTTGATGTTAAATAAAATAGCTTCCAAAATATAATTTATTGACCCTGGGTTTTGGCCTTGAGGAGGCACCTCAGGGSTCCCTGTGTATACTGTATGTAATCCTCAATCTCTTGAAAGCCAGACATTCTTCAATTTTGATCAGTTATGGGGAATTGTTAGGTCAAGAAGATTGAAAAGTGGCTWTAGTATTTCTAGATATCAAAGAGCAGGTAAGATTTATTGAGAACTATTACTAAGTTTATAGTACTTTAATTATTAACACAAAGGAGTGTCCATTTCATTCAAAGGTTAAAAAAGCAGCGCAAGTCAATACAGAGGAACAGTACCCTGGTTCCAGAGGCTTGTCTTTTATTCTTTTGCTACTATGTTATCGAGTCGCGAAGCAGCRTGACGTTTCTGTTAATCGGTTTGTTTTTACGACAAGCCTMTGGTCTCAAGGTTGGRCAATCTCACTTTCATGCTRTACTCTAGYGAACCAATCAGAAATAAAAAGAAATAAAAGACAAGCCTTGGGAACCACGGTAAGGGAACAGTGACTGAATCCAATAGTGTATAGAAACTTACATGTGCTTCCTATTTACAACATTTGAAGGGGGTTGGGGTGGGGTGGTTGTTTGGGTGCTATATCATTTTTCATTGCTAAAAATGTATACATTTCAAATTTCACAAGAAATAMAAATGTTAATAATACTCACCTACATGTGATGGCCAAACAGTTATATGGGGGTGTGAGTGATACCAACCAACAACACGCATTGGTCTGTGACATCTTGTTAGTAGCCCTAATCTGTAGGCACCATTAAGGATTGATGATGTAAAATAGGGMAAATTTTGCCAAGAACATGGATATCACATGGATATCAGAGAATCTTGCCTATTATTCAAATGATGTCATTTAACTRATTCAAGAAATGCATTGCCTTCATTACTGTATGTTCATACTGTATGTTACAATCCAGAGGTYGCGGGTTCGAAACCTGGTGGGAACATGAAATAACACAGGAAGACCATGTAAATGAATTTCCTTCAAAATGTWAATGTACAGAAGTTACTATAGTAACCAAAAATTAACMGGAAGTTTACAGAAAACGTAACAGGAAGTTTACAGGAAAGTGAGCGAGTGACAGCCTGTCCCCTCCCAATAACTCTACRATTGCTTACGCAATCTCMGAGTTAAAAATAAATGATATCAAAGTACTGCACATTGAGTCACAAACTCTATCAACCACTGTCAATTTCACTATCAAATATATTGTGTAACTAAAGGATATTTCTGCCTGGTTGGAGGCATCTGATAACTGCTCTGGTGAAATTTCTACTCTGTCTTTTCTTTTGTCAAGACGTTGTAACATTATAACTGAATAAATATGTGTAACACCATTATCAACCTGTGCAATAGATGAAATTAAAARCCTCATTAATTGCCCCYGAGGAGGCATTYTAGGATCCCCTGGATGTATAAGGGAGAGAGAGGTCTGGTAAACGCTTAGGCAGAAAAAATMTTGATTTTGATCGTCGAGGGCGCTAGCGGTATCGGTATATCAAAAMCATGTCTACAAAATTTAATCTACCATCCATATATAAGTTTGAGTTGGGASACACRATTAATAGTCAAGCTTKGAATGAACAATGTTTGTCAGCTACAGACATTCTTTCATTTTCAGATGGGTCAGATGGCTATATAWAAAAATAATTAAATTAAATCTGCCTGATGAGTGCGTGAGCACGAAACTCAGAGTTGGAGCGAATATGCGTGTCGTCTCCTGAATACTTTACTAAGTCTAAAAAATAATTACAAATAAATGCCTCCCAGCTACCAAGTACAATAAGAACATACTAGATTTAACTGCAGGGTCAGATTTAGTGAGAACTATTACTAGTTTAATAAAGCTATTAGACCAATTGGCCATTTCAAAATTAAGGGGAATGGTGCTCAATCAGAATCTTGATGCCATTCGAAGCAATCAAGAAATGGATCCAAAGAAAAGAAAGAGTACACTTAAAACTCATGATTCATGACATTTTTCGCCACAGCATTCCTGAACTTTTCAAAAATGTGATTTTTCACAAAAATTTGATTTTTCAAGTACTATTTTAAAGATATTTTTGATGTTTGCAAACTCTTCCAGCGGTGACTTTCAAAAATAGCCACATTTCAATCCAAAAGATAAAATTMAATTCAATTAATTCAATTTCAATCATCAAGGAGTTTTGCAGGAATTTCATTGATTTTTCCAATTTTCAATTGCTTTTCAAGTACCCTTGAAAATGAGTTTTCAAATTCAGGACTCCAAGGAGTAGCAYGATCCCTGAAAACTGGTATGTTCTCCGAGTGTGAGTGTATTTTGACAAATAGTTAATGAGCACCAAGCATTTAAAACTAAAAAAAACAAAGAATCTTATGTCGTGAGAATTTCAAGCTGTGTCCCCCCAAAAACATTATTCGCTCTCATTTTCGCAAATTTCAAATAATAGTCTCCTTCACARTTCCCTGCGCCATCTTGAAAGGTAGCCGTGCCTTTACACTAAAGCGAGACAACTGTTGAGCGTGCAATGATAGATACCTGTAAATAACTGTCTTTAGGTGTGAAAAAAGGTTTTCTATCATTGCACACTCAACGATCGTCTTGCTTCGATGCAAAGCCACGGCTACCTTTCAATATGGTGCAGAGAACCGTGAGGAAGATTATTGTCACTCATTGGTTATACCTTAATTCAGACTTGAAAATAACACAAATGAGAGAGACCTGCTAGCAGGGGAAAAGTTCCCCTTTCCAGTATACCCTTGGTCACCCTCTCCTCGGGCTAAAATTTGATGACAAGTATCTGTTCCGTCTGTAGGTGTTGCCCATTCCGAAATTCAAAAAGGGACTGGTGACTAGTCACAAACTCGATACCGTTTGAAGCAATGGAATAATAGATACCAGGACAAGAAAGAGCATACTAAAAATAGTATAGTTGCTGAGTTTGAGCGTATTGGGATTAGTACTTACAGAGTTACATTATCCTTTAAAGAACCTGAACTGACAATCTTGTGCTCGATTCTCGACTCGAGCAGCTTATAAACATTTTTTTTTCTTTCTTTCTTTCTTTCTTCAAGTTTATTACAATATACTTGGCCTTTTTTTCTCATTCTTAAATGCAAAGCAAACTTTCATCATATAAATTCTCTGAGGATAATGAGAATGCAACCTGAATGCTAAATTTTTGCTGCAATGATAAAAATATTCAAAAAAAAATGATGTGAAAAGGTTATACGCAGAATCTATCATATTGATCGCAGGAAMAAGATGAAATAAGATTSAAGAGTGATATTTTAACACACATACAATATTTACAAGTTTGATCCTAGTGATTACCATCAAGCAAAGTGATCGAACTCAGAATTGATTCTTACCCTGTGATAACATGTTACTATGGAAACCAAATACAACAATTCTAAAGAAATATAAACCTTTGCGACGTAGCTTTACCAGATACTTTACATTCACCTATTCAACTAAAAATGCACATAATCATTCCAAAATATATATTTAGAATCTATAATTAACAAACATACTCACAAATATTAATAAAACAAATTGCTTGTATAAAAGTAACATGACTAGAACAAATATATTTCAGTTAAGAAAAAAAGAAAGAAAAAATAATTTTTCAAACGTAGTTGAGGTGGGGAGAGTTGAAAACACTGACCCCCGGTCCGCGGACCCCTCCATGGACCACCTTCAYGGACCACCAATGAAAACATTGCAAATGCCAAATAATAGATTTGGCAAGGATTATTTTGCATTTGCTCATCCAATAAAGGGTGTTAAGTTAATGATTTGTCTTGTCACAGTTGTCACGTTGTCGGTCGGCCGCATTGTCACGTCAGTAGTCTTCTATTTGTTTGTTTTTTTGGAACCACAATCACTCGTGCTTCGATCTTAAGCTTTCCACATTATAGATTGAAATTTAAACAGCTTGATTTATAGTGTGCAGATTTGCATTCAAAAAAAATCAAATGAAAATATAACGTGTAGAGGACTGACGTGACAAAGGTAAAATCATTAACTTAATGCACAAGTCAATTGAAAACCCCGTCCCCAACTCCCAGAACTAGCGGAGTATTAAATAGTGACATGCTTTTATCAGCAGGATTGGCCGGGGGTCTGGATTTTGATGAATTGTTTTTGAAGCGGGGAGGGATTTTAAATCTCATTTGGACATTTATGAGCCTGGAAACCGT